GGAACACCTTCCTTCCCTGCTGCCCCAGCCCTCCAAAAATCAATCAATTTTTTAAATTTATTTTTAATTCATTTTCAATACCATGGCCATGAAGCACAACTGAGGCTTGCCGCTTCTTGGCTTATTCCATCCTTTGCATGAACCAAAATGAGATGAACAACCTAATTATCCACAAAAAGAACAGGAGTATTTGTGGCACCTTAGAGACTAACCAATTTATTTGAACATAAGCTTTCGTGGGCTACAGCTCACTTCATCGGATGCATAGGTGCTGCAAGTACTCCTGTTCTTTTTGCGGATACAGACTAACATGGCGGCTACTGTGAAACCTAATTATGATGTCTTCTATTTTGAGTTCTAGAAAGACATATATACCAAAAATTTTTTTAGTCTGTTCACTGCCCAATGCTATGATTGGAATAATTTCTTTGGTGCAAAGCTGCTGCCTACAAGGATATCTAGGCAAACAAAAGGTGAAATTCTGGCCCCATTCAAGTTAATAGGAGATTTGCCACTGACTTGGATGGGGCCAGATTTTCACACACAGGCATTACATGGTGTCATAAGCATTACAAATTAATGGCCCATTGTCAGGGCTGTCTTGCTTTCTCTTTTATAAAGTGTGTACATCTTCTACCTTTTGTTCTAGATTTATTATGTTTTACATTGGTCTGGTTGACATGTTTAGAAAGGTATTTGTTTCCCTCACTGAATTACGCTGATCTTATAGATCTGTTTTCTATGGGCCACTCATTTCTCTTTATCATTACCAGCTCTTCTTCTAGGATTACAGCAGGCAATTCTGTTTTTCTGATACTACTTACTTTCTCTTAAAATAACTAATTTGTTTGGATTCCCACTTCTCTGCTCTGTTCTGTGCATCTGCTCTCAGTCATGACAAAGGTAAAGAAAGCATGAACATCTTTCTTATGGCTCCCCTACTTGCTGCAAATGTTCTGGTAAATCAGTGTTATATTATCTCTCTGTATTATGTCTGATTTCTCCCACTAGCTGTGAGCTGTGCGTCTTTGAAACCAGATGCCATGGTTTCCATTGTTGCCTCTTTCTGCATTGGGTCTGACTTTGAAACATACATTCTCACAACAGAGAAACCATCTGCTACATGTGGGGACTTAACAGCACTAGGCATAATGTTTCTTTATAGCTATTTACAAACGTGCCCAAATACTGCAAGAGAATCAGACATAATAGGATTTAAATGCCCATTCAATGCATAGCCCTGCGGTAAGGCCATTTTCACATAATCTTGCATTGGATTACATTATACTGAATTTCATTTTAGTTCCTGTTTTCTAGTGTCATGTAGTAACTTGGAACAGGAAATCTGCTATCAGTATCTGTTCAAACAAATGTGTTTTTAATGGTATGGTGAGTGTTATGAAGTTTAAACATAGTTGAATCTACACCTAATGTTTCTGAAGGCTCTATTTTAAGTAGTATTTCAGCATATCCTCCTGTTCCTGTTTAGAATTGCTAACTCCAGTTCTGTTCTACTCCTTATAATATGGACTATAAAATAGCTTGATTTATTCCTTTTTCTTATTTATGACCCTTTGTTTAGGTATTTTGGATATTAAGAGCCAGATCTAGGTGACACACTAATTGTCCTTTAGTGTCTTTAGAGGTATACTTCTGTCAAGGTTCCTTCCCCACTCTGAACTCTAGGGTACAGATGTGGGGACCTGCATGAAATACCCCCAAAGCTTATTCTTACCAGCTTAGGTTAAAAAGTTCCCCAAGGTACAAACTTTGCCTTGTCCTTGAACCGTATGCTGCCACCACCAAGCATTTTAAACAAAGAACAGGGAAAGAGCCCTGGAGAAGTCTTCCCCCAAAATATCCCCCCAAGCCCTACACCCCCTTTCCTGAGGAAGGCTTGGTAAGATTCCTCACCATTTTGTACAGGTGAACACAGACCCAAACCCTTGGATCTTAAGAACAATGAAAAAGCAATCAGGTTCTTAAAAGAAGAATTTTAATTAAAGAAAAGGTAAAAGAATCACCTCTGTAAAAATCAGGATGGTAAATACCTTACCGGGTAATCAGATTCAAAACATAGAGAATCCCTCTGGGCAGAACCTTAAGTTACAAAAAGACACAAAAACAGGAATATGCTTTCCGTCCAGCACAGCTTATTTTACCAGCCATTAAATAAAAGGAAATCTAACGCATTTCTAGCTAGATTACTTACTAACTTAACAGGAGTTGTAAGGCTACATTCCTGATCTGTTCCCAGCAAAAGCATCACACAGACAGACAAACCCTTTGTCCCCCCACCTCCAGATTTGAAAGTATCTTGTCCCCTCATTGGTCATTTTGCGTCAGGTGCCAGCGAGGTTCTCTTAGCTTCTTAACCCTTTACAGGTAAAAGGGTTTTGCCTCTGGCCAGGAGGGATTTTATAGCACTGTATACAGAAAGGTGGTTACCCTTCCCTTTATATTTATTACAACTTCTTAACAAAATTAAAACTGTTTGAGTCCCTAAGTAGAAACAGTCTCTCAATATCACTAACAGGCAATAGGTGATGCTACAGTACACATGTGTACCCACATTGTGACTCTGTGAAAGAAGTAGGAGCCCTGCAGGTTTAGTCCAGCTAGATATTAGAGATCTGTATCTAGAACAAATGGAAAAGTCACACTTAACGAACAGTACCGTTGGTGTATATGATGAGTGTAGGGACTGTCTGCTCAGAATGAAGTTGCTGTTGCAATTTTTTGTACTGCTAGTTGTCAAAGTATCTATCTAAAAAAGAAATAAAACGGGCTTTTCACTCAATACTATTCATGTTCTTGTACAGCCGCATCACTGATGTATTGGAAAGCCTCCAATGCTGTTTGAAAGCTGTTACTACAAGTTTTTTACATACTGGCTGATGGGGCTTGCTGTGATTCACAAAGCCCTGGAAAATGGGCAGATGTCATTGCAATGTTTTTCTCCTAATAGTGCTTGGGACTGGAAATATGGGTCCCCCACTTTCCTGCCTCATTGTGCATCATTTGAATTATCTTGGAAATATCTATGTATGGTTGCTTAATATGGCTTTATTATTCCCTCCAGAAATCTGCATGTTTCTCCTATATACCCATTTTGTAGATCTATAAACGTGTTTAAAGTTTTCCACTCGGTGGGTGGGAAGCAAATGTGATGAATTTGCCACTTACAACAGATTCTGTTGGCTCCACAATTACATGTTTTGTGCAAAAAGGAAGGCAAGTTCGTTTTATGGAGGCATGAATTACACTGTCTGTGAAGTACTCGCACAGGTGTCACAAAAAAGGAGATGTTCCTACAGGTTAATAATACGTTAGCACTTATTATCCTGAGAACCCTTTGAAAATATTAAAGAATCCTCACAAGACCATTATGACGGTAGGTGTTATGCATAATTGGCAGATGGGGAAACTGGGACGGAGAGGTTGATTTGCTCAATTTGCCCGTGACTTAGGGTTAAACCAGAATTAATCATTACAAATGTTCTCATAGAATCCATCACTATAGGATTTGAACAGGCAGGTGAAGTTGGGAGTTTCCTGGTTCCCAGTTCTCTAATCGGACCGGTAGACTCCCACCCCTTTTAACATCGTTCTCTGCAATTTTTCAGTGTTCCCTGGTAGTAATATTGTTAATTGGGAATAATGTATCTTAAGTGGCTGTCCTTCCAACCGGGCAGTCATAATCCGCAAATATTAATATAAAAATGACAGTCCCACTCCCATTAGCCTTACTGCAATTCTCAGTGTTTAAACAAACATTACATTGTGGAGGGAAGAATGGATTGTGCATGTCTTAAGTATGGCAAGGAGAAAGCTGGAGACCAGACCCCCTTAAGGGCTTCTCTTCTACTTTTAATATACTGAAAGGGGATTTTCATGACTCTTTGCCACCTGCAAATGATCAACAATCTTATCTGCACACATGAGGTCAATATACCTATTAGAAATGTTTATTATTTTAGTCAATGTTGTTGACTTTGGCAAGTCTGGACAGCTCAAGGAATTGGTAATGGAATCTAGTCCCTTACCTCTAAATTGCCAGTTAAAATCCAGCCCTAGGCTGGAAGATGTTACTGTTTCATATAGCTGTGCTTCATATTTTGCAGTTATGATCCCATTCCTAGTGGACAAGTACTCAAAAACCACGTTCACAGAGGGAACTAATTTACATGCTTGTTTGCCTCACTAAGCAGAACAAACAAGAACTGAATAGACATGTAGACTGTACTGTCTTCCAAAATCTTTCTCCAGAGATGGACCCCCACCTGCTCCAGGTCAGAGTTTGGGTTTGGGCATAAGAGGGGACAGTATGGAGATGCTTGTACAGTAGCTATATATTCTGTCGGTAAATAGAGGACTTTGGTATCCATCATCTTTCACTAAAACTAAGTTCACATGAAAGATCTTAATAGATATTTTTTTAAATCAACGTTTAACAATAGTCATATCCCGGTTAAAGTGTTTCAAGTGTTAAAATGTTCATAACTTAGCACCAGCTTGAGCACAGAGGTTTTTGTAATACTCTCCATAAAATGTTTTTGCTGATCTTTAGAGAGAGGGGGAAAAAAACAATGGAAATCCTGAATTAATATCCAGGCTGCTGAGAGGAACTGAAGAGTATATTAGTCTGACAGCTAGTGACAAAAAGTCATGTTCGTCTACTGTTGAGGCAAATGAAGTATACGGAAGGAAAGGATGCCTGTTAGGAAAACTTGCACCATAATGTAGCAAAATGCACGTTGAGAATATATTTATGCCCCATAAAATTGCCTGCTCCTTAATGTGCTCTTTCTACTTTTTTAAATAAACAATCAAAGCTGTTCTTCCTCTGGCAGCTTCCCAGGAACGACATGTGTTTCAGCATCTTAGCCATTGAAACTTTCTGACTCAAATCTCCCATTTCCTTTCTCCATCTAATTTAGTTCAAATGCCATTTGGGGTGCATGTAGCACGTAGCATGCATTATTTTTATTTTTTTCCAGGTCACCTATTGCTTATAGATTGATAATGTGGAAACACGTACAGCACAGGCAACAGCATTGCAATCCACCTACCTCACCAGGATGTTTCGCCCTTCAACTGGAACCACCATTTGTACAGTAGGTAGGTGGTTTTAGATTCCGTTCAGTCCTTGATTTTCATGCTGAGACTGCCAACAGTGTAGCTGACTAGTGCAAATTGTGGTGGCTTTTGTGAAGTGGATCCCTGTCAGCTGTGTACTGGGTCATGGCCTCTAGCTCACTTTGCATAGGACACCAAACAGCCATCTGATGGTGAAGACTCACCAAGGACATCTACCGTGCAATTTAATGTGTAACTGAAGCTTGGATATATCTGCCTGTGCTGGCTTGAATCTAGGTAGCTCTGATAACAAGAGCAGTGAAGACATGGCAGCACAAACCTCAGTGCAGGCTAGCCTCCTAAGTACATACCTGGGGTCCCTGGCAGGCTTGTACTTGGGTGGCTACCCTGTGCTGAAGCTTGCGCCACCATGTTTTCACTGCCCTTGTTACATGAGCTACCTTGATTAAAGCTAGCACAGGTAGGCATAACTTGACATTACACCTTAAATTGCAGTGTAGGCATACCCTTAGATGCTACTGCCCAGGGCTCGGTTTAAATTGATGTCCTAGAACGCAGAGGCTTTATGTTTGATTTCCAAGCACTTGAACTCTCCAGTACCTCAATAAGAACTCATTTGAAAACACTTGCATCCCTTCTTAAGTTTCTCTAAAGACACACCAGTGCCTCCTAGAAAGGGGCATGAAGCTTATAGCTAATTGACTTTTAGAGATGAACATCTGACCAATCTAAACAGTAATCTCTGCATTACATTTTCTCCAGAGTTCTGGGCATTTTGTTAAACTTTTTAAAGACAGAAATATTTAAAATATCTTACACAATTATTGGAAATAATTTTATGGCTCTTCACTTTTCCTGGGTTATTGTTTGCTCCTGTCTTCCTAGAGAAGTTGCTAAGCTACAGTAAGATGGTGGGTGATAAATTCTTCATGTAGTGATCAAGGCATACAGTAATGGTGACCATTTGGTTAGGCAGAAAGTTACTGCCAAATAACAGGTGGTTTTCACTCTATGTGTGTGTTCAGAGAACTCCTTTCATCACTGTAATCTTTGGTTATTGCTGAAGGCAGACATGGGTGAGATGAGTAAGCTTTATAGGGAAGTAAACAAAAGAAAACTAAAGGAACTAAAATAAGATGGGTCTCCTATGTTTATTCAGACAGAGATGTCAGATTATATGCAAGAATGTTGAGAAGCCACCTGTAAAACCAATCCCACTTCTAACCTAGAAAATGGACAGACTGTCTCCTGGTGACAGAGACCTTCTGACAGTATCAGAGTATGTGAAACTGAAGGCTTCCTGTGTCTCCTTTGCTGAAAACAAAATTGGATTTATACTGTCACTCTCCTTCACCAGTGCCTTCTGGTTTCTTCTCTGTTTTATTTTCAACTCATTACTACACTCTTTTCATTTTTGGAATTTTCCTATGTGAGAGTCTGTACTACATGCTCCAGAGGACACAGCTGGGATTGGATATATTTGTCATGTCAGTGGAAGTAAGATTTTTGGTTACATTAATCCACACCTAAATTAATATTGCATTTATTTGATAACCCACAAATTCTGCATTTGAGGGGAATGTGTTTGTACATAATCTCTGTCTACAGTTGCAAGATCATGTCCAAAACTTGCCTTTCCTTCCTACATAGTATCTCTAAGATCTATCCTTTTCTCTTTGTCCAGAGAGCTATAAATTTTTCTCTTGTCCCATCTTGATAACTTTCTTTTCAGACACCTTTCTAATGCCCACAGTGCCCTGCTCCAGTCTGTACAAAATGCTGAAACCAAGATTTTCTCCCTTACCCATGAATTTGACCACAGTAGCTCCTCTTTGAATCCCTGCACTGTTTTTCCCAGCTTTTATCTTCCCAACCCTATCCTGTATTCAGCTAGTCCGAGGATGCCAGCTTCATCACTCTGCTTATCACCTTTTCCCACAACTGTTTCTACACTTCTTCTACACTGCCCCTCTACGCATGGAAGGCCTTGCCTGTGCTGGTCTGCAGATCCACTACCTGCTCTTCTCTTAAATCCTCCTTGGAGACCCACTTCTTTTTGTGAGGCCGGCAAGAAATTTGCCAGTTAAATTTCCTACTTATTCATCCTACATATTTAGGAAAAAATGTGCCACAAACTCTCCTCCATAGTGTACACTAATATTGCTGAGTTAATATGTAACCTTAATGTTGCTTCTGGTCATTCTTCCTAATGTCTTGTTGTTATCCTCACTGTTGTATCCAAAATTTGTTTGTAAGCTCTTGAGTAAGGGATCTTGTCTTTCCATCTGTCTTGGGAGGTGCCTAGCACATGCTTGGGTAAAGTTAAGAAATATTTTCTCAGGGAAACTTTGGCCACAAGAACTTTTCTTCTTCCTCCTCACCCCCAAAAAGGCAATAGGATCTATCTGGAGTCACCTAAAACTGGAAATGAGGTCCTACGGCTCATTAGAGTAGGAGCAATAGAGTAAGGAGAAGGCTCTGGTGGTGGTCGGGTTTCCCTTAGTTTGAGTTCAGTGATATTTAGTATATCTAGTAAACATCTAGGAGTTAGTTCATATCCATCTTCTGTGAATCAAGCGCAGAATTTGGTTCGTGAACCCCATACACAGATTGAACAATCCATGCTTTGCACAACCCTAACTGTAACCTCTCTTGATTCCTGATCTCAGATTGTACAATGATTTCAACACTAGGTTTTTGCTATCTAATATTTTCTCTACTAGATCTCAACATATGACCTTGAACCTTTCTAATGGAGCCTTCAGGCTTTCAGTTTAAAGTGATAATTTTTAATAAAGCCTGCCAACATATAGAATCAGACTGCCTATGAAATTCTGATTGTCATTTACAATCCACTGAAACTTTGCTTCATTAGCAGTAAACTCCTTTTGGACATCTGTAACATGCCACGTTTGGCCAAATTGAATAAGGCACAGCACAAGGCTGGGCAACAATATGATCAATTTCAGAAGAGATTAGTATTTGCTGAAAAATTACCAGTATTACAAAACTTTGTCTATAGCACCAAGTAAAGACTAGGGTTGGCTCAATCACTTCAGAGGTAGCAGACCTGATTCTGATCTTTGCTTATTCTTTGAAACAAACCCAAATCAAACAATTTTTGTGGCTCAAAAAGTTAATTTAGTTCAACTATTTATCATTCCGCTATGTTGTTTGGGAGAAGAGGTACTGAGCTACTGTGAGAGGATGCTCTCCTACAAGAGCTGAAATGCTGTGTGAAAAGCTGCTCTTACGAGATTCCCAGGCCTTCATGGAAGTACAGTTACATATGTTCTCACAAGTTCTCATGAGTGTTTCACTCCAGCTTTGTTCTGACCACAGACTCTGGAAGTTCAGATACAATAAGCATCCAGATCTCAGTTATCTGAACCAAATTTCTTGAGGTTTGTCCATCACTGGTGAAGATGCTTAAAGTTACACTACAATCCAAATTATTTCCCCCCAAAAGTTCCCATAGTCGATTGTCCAGTCTGCAATTAGGGAAGTGCCATGACCACTTCTGCTATGTATAGTAAATAACAGTCCCTAAAATGAAACTGATACAAATCCAATGATGAGAAGTGAAGGAGTTAAAAATTCCAGTAAATGAGCTCTCGATGAAACTGAACTACGTTGGTGCAGAGTCTCTGAATTCTATTAGTTTTGACAACCTCAGTTATTCTCGTGCGTCTCATCATCTGTAAAGCTAACAAGGGCTGATAAGAGATGATGAGGCACCACACCGGTTTGTATTTCAGAATTCATAAATATTTCACAATACCATTTTCTTACAATCAGATACATTAGTTTGTCGAGTGTAGATGTTGCTGAATATTCACTCTGTGCTGAGGTTTAACAAAGGCACTGCAAGGATAAACATTTTTAAATCAGCAGATATAAGCCATGAGTTGGTGCTACATACTCCACAGTTATTTGCTTTCAAATGCATGTTCTAATTTTAGTAAAATTGTTGAATTTTGACCTCTAGGAGCTGCTACTGTCTTGCTTGTAAATATACCGTTATGCTTCATAGCTGCCACCCTCTGCCCATCCCCCACCGATTGATATCTTTTTTTTATTTTTTGAGCTACTTCAAAATTTTACACTATAGTCAGATATCCAAGGGTGAATTTAATTTGGAACAAACCTTGGTCTTGACATCACAAATTTTATTAGGGGATCAAACAATGCAACATACAATTTTCTCAGGCTGCACTTCATCTAGAGATACTTGAGATTCTAAAAATTAAGTAAATCGGCTGAATGTTTGAAGTAAAAAAATTATATGAAGTACAGTGTGGCCAAACTCTCCCCAAAGTAGCAGTTATTCTTTTTCCTGCTATAATAAGATGGAGCACACAAATATCACTTGATTAACAGCTGCAGTGTTAATTTCCCTTTTTGGTTGCTTGACTCACAGCAAGAATCATGTCAATGCAGCAGAGAAGCAATTAAATTGATTTTAATCTTTGTCAGAGAAGATAACATGCCTCTTTCTTTTCTCATTTAAATAATTAAAGTTTCAGCAGGTATTATTTCTGGCTTTAAAGAAATTGGTATCTTAATGTAATAGAATCCTTGTAATTATACACTTAATGGTTCTTCAGAAGTTAATCATGGTTGTTCATTTAAATGTGTGTGTATATGTATATATTATTTATTAAACTTTTATTTGCTTTGGTGGTTATGCTTTTCAGAGGGTGGAACATATAAAAAGTGAAATTCTAAAAAAAATCCTTTCTCCTTCTCATTTCTCATATTTTGTCTTTCGAATTTTTATTTTAAGCAATATTGTCACACTTCAGCAAATGTTTGAAAAATCTTTTATTAAACCAATTCTCATTAAGAGGAAGATGAAGCGTTTAGTTGTCTCACTACAATGAATTACTTTGGTGAAAAAAATTCATATAATGAGGAAAAAACAAATATTTTTGTATCAGTGCCATCGTACAAACTAAACTTCATTAGGAGCACAGTAAATACAGTTGCACCCTTTTGACCTGAGTGGCTAGTCAAACTTGGTGCTCTAGGGAGGGTTCCAGATGGGAGCAGAAACAATGCCCAGTGGAATCTGCCATCTACATGTTGCTAGTTTCTGGGCAGACTCAGTTATGCTTTATTTTAGGTGCGGTGCTTTAACTGTCCCTCACAACTATCTTAAATGAAGGGTGCATTCACACATAATTTTCAGCAAGGTTTCAATTCAACCCATAACAAGGTTTAACCCAGCTCAAACAATATTGTTACCCTTTTTGGCCTGAGTGGTTAGCCAATATTTGAGTGCGGGCAGGTTATTTACATTAGTAGGAGAAATTGATGATGGAGTCAGGGTAGTCTATTCATGCAGTCCTGTTAATTTACAAAGAGTGTACATAAAGTCTTGTTTCCCTTAACACAGTAGGAATCAAACAGAAAGAAGTTTCTTTGTTCACATTTCCAAGCCTGACTTCCCAGCCAGTCCCAAAAGCTTTCTTTCTTCATTTTCTTTCAGGGCCACACTTCCATTGCTTCACTGGATGCTTCTCCTGCTTCTTTTGCTGCTTCTGGGTGTTTCAGCTCATGGACACACACACCTCCAACAAAAAAATACTCAATGAAACTCCTCTGTCTCCATAGCGCAGTTTCTGAGCAGCCTTGCATGTGACCTGTGTTCTGGTTGGAGGCTCCTATTGTCTCAGCTATCTTACTCTAAAATGGAACTTTATTGCTTCTGACCTTTACCCTGAATGAAGGGCAGCTCTCACACCCACCAACTTCCACAAGATTTCACCCAACCTCCATCATAACTATATTGTAAATGGGTGACATTTGAGATTATGATATTTTTGTGAAATGGAAGAAATTTTATTTAAAAAATTGCAATGTAAATGATGACTCAAAAATGTGTGGTGAACATTCATTCTCTCTTTGATCTGAGTTGCTTGGTAGGTCATCACTGGTCACATGATATTGGTTCTGATTTTTAATTGGCAGAGCCCTACCCGAGGTTAGCAGAAGTCACACAGACTTATTTTCTGAGAGGAGTGCCTGCTTATTCTGTGTGCTTGCTCTTTCCCAAATCATCCCTCTCATGCAGCAAAAGCCACGGGAAAGGGGCTTTTTGTGAGGGGAAACTTTGTGAAGAAACTTCTTGTGAGTTTACCCTGCATCGTCCTCAGAGACATGGAGTCCTCCCTCCCCAGTAAAAGCTCTGTCATATTGATGGAGTAGGAAGATCCCAATGGAAAAAGGTGAGAAGCTGCTATATACAGGCAACATATCAATAAGGCATCCTCAAAAGAAAACCTCGAGCAGGGTGGCCAACCTGTGGCTCTGGAGCCACATACGGCTCTTTAGAAGTTAATATGTGGCTCCTTGTATAGGCACTGACTCTGGGGCTGGAGCTACAGTTGCCGACTTTCCAATGGGCCAGGTGGTGGTCACTGCTCAACCCCTGGCTCTGCCACAGGCCCTGCCCCCACTCCAGCCCTTCCCGCCTCCTCCCCATAGCCTGCCATGCCCTCGCTCCTCCTTCTCCCTCCCAGAGTCTCCTGCATGCCAGGAAACAGCTTATCAGGAGGGGCGGGGAGGGAGGGGGAGGTGCTGATTGGCGGGGCTGCTCGTGGGCGGGAGGTGCTGGGAGCAGGGGGGAGCTGTTGGGAGGCTGCTGACATATTACATGTGGCTCTATGGCAATGTACATTGATAAATTCTGGCTCCTTCTCAGGCTCAGGTTGGCCACCCCTGACCTAGAGGAAATAGTAAATCAGTGGCATGACCAGCTAAGCTGGAATGGGATGATTTTTAACCAGCACTCATGAATATTTTGCATTCAGTAAACACAGAAATAGGAACTCGTGGTTGTGCTGTATGAACCACTGGAAGTTACCGGATCATGAAACTACCTATTTTCCCATCTAGTGAAGTTGGATGTTTTCTCTGAGAATTGTCAATTACTGGATGACCTCAACGAGTTATGTTGTATCCGCCATGTTGTTTGCATCACACCATTACTAAACTTTCTGAGTTACAGCAAGATGAATTATTTCCTGAATTTTAAAAATGAAATGCCTTTTCAAATTTAAAATACAGCTGTGGAATTGAGCAACACCACATATAAGCAGCAGGGAGCGCACAAACATCTGATTTATGGTATGCTTGGTAAGAGCAAAGTATTTCTTTTACTTGTTACTATATCCCAAAATAATTTTACTTTTTCTCCTGCCTAGAAAAATGCTAACACTTTCTGCAGTAGCTAAATATAAAAGTCTTCTCTTACAAAATATCTTGTAAACACAGCCTCTGCATTAGAACAATGCCCAAAAGACACAAATTGTTCCCTCTCATATTTTATTACAGCAAATGCTCAAGTGAAATTTAAAGGCAATTGTATGGCAAATTTTTTTTGTCTTGGGGCTTTTTTAGTTACTGAAAGGAAATAGACAAGCTACTTTTTGAGGACTGGGAGAGACTGTGTATTTGTAGTATTTATAATCTAAAGGGGCCATGCCTTGTAGCAAAGTGATCATTTGAATGAAAAAATAAGTTATCATATATACCATATGTCAAAAGTGACACATGAGCATTTCTTAGTACGTTGTGTGCATTCCATACTTCTCAAGACAATAAACTGTTTACACCACTTAGCCAAAAATTGATAAAGGCATTTATGTTTACAGTATCTTCGAACCTAGTTCCAGTGCCCCTAGAACTCATGACGTTTCATTATGGTTACAGGACTACAAAAATTTACATTGTCCTCATGTACTGGTATCAGTGAGTGACTTCACTTAGCCTCTTAGCACACAATACTGCTGTTTATGTTCTTGGTTATATGCACTCCTGTTGTACCTATGTAATATTCACGGTCAGACTAGCTTTTCACAGAACAAACATAGAGTTAAGGTTTTCATTTCCATGTTGTTCTTTAATATGGACTGATCTCTTACATATGAAAGAGACCGACAGCTTTGACTGTGGGATTCCTGAACAATGAATACTACATGTGACTGAACAAACAATCTACTTGTGCAAATGCTTGTTCTTCCATGGTTAAGGCAACTGAGAATGTGTATACTGTGTGAAGGTGTGAAAAGTCTACTATTTCTGATAGTCAAACTTAAAATCTGTTTTGCTTGGTCTAATATGGCCAATTAACTTACTCTCATCTCATTTGTAGCACTGTGCCATATGGTGGATGTACATGCAGAGATTAACTGATTTACACCAGGCAGAAATTCCATGGAACAGAATTACAGAGGGGGGAACATGTTTAATAGACATATAATGTTTTTAATAAATGCACATTTTTTAACCTGAATAAAGAAAAGCCACATAGCAGATGCTGACTTCTTCATTAGACTTTGTAACAGTGCACACTGATATTAATAGTAACATAAACAATATAGGGGATAGTTTCTTGTTTGATGACTGAAGAGATTCTTTAACTGAGAATCATAATGGAAAGAAATGCTAACTTTACAGAGAACTCCCATTCAGAGATCACATCCATATCCTGATGTAGCTGTATTGCCTTGCCTACCAAGTGATTATTGTAAGCATTACAGGCAGTCTGCAGATAAAAGATAATATTGTCTGGATAGACTGACATTAGCAATTATTTTCTGGGTTTTTTTGCTTTGCTTTTTTTCTATTTCATTAGAGTCCCTGGACAAAATATAATTAAAATGATTTGACTTTTCGTGCATAGGTTTTCATAGGACAAATCCATTATACTACATACTGACCAAACTATAACTTAAAGTTTCTGATGCAAGGCTGCTCACATTCAAACCACTTATGTATAGTTTTGTACAAGTGGATAAACCTAAACTTTTATCTAGAGTGACTTGGCAAATGATTTCCTAAGAACAATCTAAACCTAAATTTTTAGGTTTTAAAAAAAAACTCCTCTGAACTTTTTGTATTTGCAGTTAGCACCCATAGCCAACAAGTGAAATACTTTAACAATCTTCATAGAAAACATGCTGCATGGGAAGGCTTTTTTTATTTGAACACTTCTCTCAATAGGCTTACGTTTAAAAAAAATCAAACCCAGCTCAAAATGTCCATAAGTCTGTTATAAAATGTCTTGTGTAATGAAAATCATATGCTAGAAGACATCATTTCCCTGAAAGATGATTTTGTTGTTCTTGATGAGGTACAAAATTAGAAACTAATTTGGCAGAAGACCTTCACCCTTCACATGCAGTAGTTAGTCATATAAAATTTATTGTTGTCAGCAAAAATTGATAGCAAATCATTTTAATATCTTTTATGAAAAAATTACAAACTCAGGTATGATAAATAACAGCACCTCAAGCCTTCATCACCATGCATGTTAATAATGCAATACCTAACTATGCATGACACACACCATTATCAGAAAGCAAAAGATTTTCAACCTTCTTTGTTGCTTCACTTATTTGAATATTTTATCTAGGAACTAGTGATTGAAATCAGCTGGTGTGTCTCTGTGCGCCGAATGAAGCTGTAGTTCGATCTTATCAAGGCTATCTTTGAGCTGAAACACATATCCAGAAAGACAATTTGTTCTGAAAGCAAATTCAGACTTTGTCAGTGACACTAATTACAAACATTCTTTAATAGCAAATTCAGTAATTGGAGTCACATATCTAGCAGTACACTATGGAGCACGGTATCCCTGTTTGGCTGAATCATATTCTGACCAGCGAGGCAATTCAAAATGATGGGGTTTTTGCTGAAAGAATACTCTGGATTTGGCTATGATTCTGTAGGTATTGCCAGGGCACTATGTTGTGGGTCATATATTGCTGCTTCTTTGAATAGCAGCAATGTAGGCACCTACCATCTGCTGCCTAGTGATTGTTGCTAAATCTAACACACGTTAGCCAGCATGAAGTTGGCTGGACAGGGGCATACCCTTTAGCATGCGGTGAAGCACAGGCTTAGCAAAGGATTTTCCTATTCACAAACACTTTACTGTTAAACAAGCCACAGCCGAGTTACAGATCTATGGAAATCAACAAACTCTTAAACACAACACAACATCCCTGGTCTGATCTTGCTACCCTTGTGAGTCCTTAGTCCAAATCCCTAGGCCAGGCAGCCCTTCCAGCTGTATTATCCTGGCCATCTTGCTTCAGGTGGCAGAATGGCTTCCCTTGATTAAAGAAACAGCCTCCTTTCTAACATATTCCACCCACCCACATCAATGGGTGGGGGAAATTGATGGGGCTGGCAGTGAAAAGGGGACAGTCCCAGTAGCAAGGGAGGGAGACACTCATCAAGCAACAATAGGTAGCTCCTCCCCTGGAAATCTGGCACCTACTGGCCAGCTGGGGAGAGGGATGCTGATTGGCCAGAATTCCCCAGCTCTCAGGATTTAGCACACTGGAGGGGCCATGTGGAGCCTCTTTCAGCTCTGTTCCAGCAGCCCACCTTAATCTCCCAAACTAGGAATGGGAACCTGTCCTGACAGATGCCTGTTTAGGGGGTTAGGAAGGATTTTTTTTCTCCTGTGGGTCAACTGATGAAGGACCAGGGAGTGTATTGCCTTCCTTAAAACACCTGCAAGCCACAGTGGGCTAAGTAGGAACATACATGGTATCTAACTGAGGTAGTGGTGTTTACTCGCTGCAACTTGTGACTGGTTTCCAGTGTGGTTAAGAGAATAAAATGAATGGTTCCCAGAGGTAAAAGAGCTGGGATTTTGGTGATGGGCCTTGGGCTTAATGTGATAGGGTAAGACTTTGTGGGCCAAGGTCAGACCTTGTGGCCCTGGTAGGCTAAGGTGCCCACCCTGCTGCATCCTCTGTCCCCCTCGTAAGGGGAGGAGGGTGTTAGGACTAAGAGTGAACTGAGTCCTGGGGGGTAGGCTGAGTAGAGCCTGCCCTGCATTTTGGGATATATATTAAGGAGCTCTGTAACCCTGGTGTCAGTTACAGGTTATACGGTAAGGAGCTCTGTAACTCCTGCACTGGAACCAATTAAATGCCTGGTATAGTATGGAGAGTATGGGTGATGGGCAGGTAACACCCCTGCCTTGTGTTAAACTCTACAAACAGTTGCACCTTGCCGCTTAATTCCTTGTATGTGTCAGTCCTCAATTTGCCACTGTGTCCACATCAATTATGTCAGTCTCTGCCACCTTTCTTGCCCATGCACTTCCACTGGGGAACTTCCAGGCCTAGCCCCTCCATTCTCTTCTAGGTAGAGAGTCATTCAAATGGCACCTAGTGGCAGCACACCTATTGTTCCAGCAGGGAGAGCCATTCAGTGTTGATGGTTGTTAATTGGTCTATCCTAGCTTCGCAGATGTAGCCTCTCCGCTAGCTGTCAAGGTCCAGCAGCAAAACAGATGCTCTAATCCTCAGTGAAGGTTACAATCACAAAAGGCATTCACAAAATAAAAAGAAAAGGAGGACTCGTGGCACCTTAGAGACTAACCAATTTATTTGAGCATGAGCTTTCGTGAGCTACAGCTCACTTCATCCGGGGATGAAGTGAGCTGTAGCTCACGAAAGCTCATGCTCAGATAAATTGGTTAGTCTCTAAGGTGCCACGAGTCCTCCTTTTCTTTTTGCGGATACAGACTAACACGGCTACTACTCTAAAACAAACTAAAATGGAATTCATAATTTGACACAGGTACCCCTCCCACAAGCTGTCACAGTACGTTTCACAGTTAATTTTACATCATGTAAAAAGTATTTCTTTTTATCATTTTAACATTTGTTGCTTTTTAATATCATTGGGTGATTCTTAGGTTTTGTAGCATATGAAAATGTTAATAGGATCGCCTGATTCACCTCTTTTACGCCATTCATTATTTTACATGCCTTCCTCATGTCGCCTCTTATTCTTTTCTCTAAGCTAAATTGTTATAATCCTCTTTAATTGCTCATCAGGTGGAGGTGTTTCCAAACATCCAGTGAATTGTGTTGCTTTTCTCTGGACCTGTTCTGTTTCTGCTATAAATTTCATTTTTAGATGAGGTGACCAGAAAAGAACACCATATTCAAGATGACTGTAATAATGATATACTTTTGAGGATTATCCTTTCTTAATATAATCTAAAATCCTGTCTGCTTTTTAACCATGGTTGTGAATTGTGCAGATATCTTCCTTGAGTTGTCCACAGCGTTTAAGAAACAGGTAGTATTAATAAAAAGAATAATACTGAAAATATTATACCACTTTTTACACACTGTTACATTCTCCCTCTCTCTCTCTGTCTTATTTTTATTTCTGGGAGTTGTTCAACTTTTTCCTTTTAACATATCATCTTGCATCTCTCTACATTAAATATCATACACTCTCATGTTGTGCTATTGTCTAGTTTTATTAGGTTCTTCTGGCATTCCCTACCATTTTTTTTGACTAACCTACATCCTCTTCTTCTCTTGCACACTAGTGTACTACATGGCAAGTGTGGAACCTATGCAGTTTAGTACTGTGGTCCCATGGTACTTCACTATTGATAGAGTCAGTAGAAGTGAATATAAGTTTTTATGACCAACACACTCAACTACTGTAGATGGAATTTGTTTGAGGTTTATTAACCAAATCTGTTACATAGGAAATCACTAATATTCTTTGTACCAAAACTTATTTTTACTAATAAACAAACAAACAAAAAAAAACCAGTAGTAGTTTAAGCCCCTGTACACCATGTAGTCTCTACATGGCTAGATTTCAGAGGAACAGCCGTGTTAGTCTGTATTCGCAAAAAGAAAAGGAGTACTTGTGGCACCTTAGTCTCTAAGGTGCCACAAGTACTCCTTTTCTTTTTACATGGCTAGAGTTATGCTTAAAGGAAAAATGAACACATTGTTTAAGTGGGAGAATTATCCCTAGTGTCTCTGAGACAGTACAATATGTGGCCAAAGAAACTATATCAATTAACCAGAAAAATATTTCTACAAAGTAACTGTAGCTATATTGTAGATCACAATTTTGTTAATCTGTAATGCAGTTTACAGTGGGGCAACAATTCCTTCTCTTTAGTTAATTCATGCTACAACTTTTTAATAAAAACTAAGCACTTTAAAATGTTTATGAAAGGAATAAAATGTGGAAACAAATAGTTTTTGAAATCATCTTGTTAAACGTTAAATTATGAGGAATGAAAATAAGGATGTGGAATGTACTGTTCTGTTAAGTGTATCTTAAAATCTGTACCTTTTGCTACCTTGACAGAGTTGAGAGATTTCACTTTTTAATCATGCATCTGTGAATAGCTGCCTTCCCCAAAATGCTGTACAAACACAGTCCACACAATATGTGAGGTCTAAATTAACCCACTTTCTAGTGTTCGGCTTTATTAATAAAGAAATCAACAGTAAGACAACAGATATTTAGTTGAAGCATTTTCCTCAGGTAAAGCTACTCTTACAGACCTCCCTCAGGACCATGCAGCTTAGATCCTCTTTCCCCACAAAACCATTCCCATCTGCCTTTTATTTAAGTAGAGGTAATGAGTCACTTGCCTCAGTGAGTCAACAGAATCCATGTAACTCTTTCGAGAAGAATCAGCGACTGCTAACAGAGTGGGATGTTTCAGGTAACAACTGTTGCATCATCTTTCACTGATTTGTTTTTCTTGATCAATGTACTAAATGAATTATTCAGAAATGACTATGACACATGAACTAAACCCTCAAAACAAAAGAGCATTTTATCTTCCGGTAAATATGATTTCAACAGTTCCAGTCTTGTAAGTCCAATTTAAAAACAATTCACAGCACTGCTTTAATTCGCATGTGCTGTAGTTATGGAAGACTTAAAAGCTACTACAAAAATAAAATAAAAGCAGACAGTTACTGCTTTGGTTATGCATTGTGTATCATACATATTTGTGTCTGACTGCTTTCATTTTAGCTAGGTAAGAAAATATAACTTGCTGAAGGCGGTTACCTTCATTCAAAGCCAACTGAGACAGAGCTGGTGTTCAGTAATTATAGCCATACAGTTTCCAGGAGACTCCTCCTTCAGCAGACTTGTGGCTGTGTTCCCATTTGTAACGTTGTTCATTATATCCAACCTGCTGCCATCACTCCAGAGCTTTCAAAAGGCATTCTGTGGGCTATCGTGTTTCAGGACATGGATAATGAAATAGTTAGACTTGACGTGTATTATAATCTAACTTAACTTTCACTTGAAAAGTAGACTTAATAAAAGCAAGACTAAAAGGCATTTTACGTTTTTATAAGGAGTCTCATATGGTATTACCTGCTGTTTTTCATTGTGTTTCTCTTCTCACAGTTTTCCCTTTTGAGGGGACTGACACAAGAAGAATGGTGGACATTTCTTTATCTTAAAACACTTCACAAAAGTACAGAGGTAATCAATAATAATGTTCAATAATTTCAAATTGAAATTGGAGTGACTTAAAAAATTTATACATATATTTTGTATCAAGTCGATAACTGCTTGCTAGTGAAGACAGCCTTGTATGTTTGATGAAAGGGTAAATAGCACTACAATCTCTTACAATTAAATTTATATACAATACAAAATTATAAAGCTCTTAAAAAAATCTGTCTTCCCTTACCATGGCACAATTTGGCACAATTCTAAAGGTATTAAAGAAACATACGTTCGTTACTGTGTTGTAGTATGTGTCAAGATGTGCCACACTATGAGCTGAACTTTAGAAATATCTAAATGCAGAGTAAATAGTAGACAAGGATCAAACAATGAAAGTAGAGATCTGGGGTTGTAACAAAGAGCTTCTATAAACAGCATTACAATTTAAAACATATTTTGATTACAGTGGCACAAGCTTTTTTGCTTAGACAATAGCTAATAAAGATTGAAAATGTCCTTCTTTCTCCTGGCTCAAGGGACTGATTCCCCCCACATTCACAACTGAATCTGTGCATTACTCCACAACACATCTTTTTTTATGGGGAATAAGAGATCCAAAGAGAGAAATATTTTGCGGGAGGAGGAGGACATAGACTGATCAGAAGCCTCTAAATAGAGGACTTATTTCTGCAGCTAAATCTGTAACTAGAACAAACTCCACTGGATAGGTGGCGGATGAGCTCTGCCAAAGAGGTAGAGTAGGACCTATAGCATCACCAGTGTGTACATGGCACACAACTTTTCCAGGCCTCAAGAGATGTGGACAATGCTGAAGTAATTGTGTGAAATGGTACTGGATTAAAAACATCTGGTTCAATATGGGTAAGATGGAGGTGTGGTTGGCTGGCAGAGGGAAATGGTTTGGGAAACTGGCTGGAAGTGACCTATCTCCTTATTTAGGAAATCTGCTTTCCTGCAGTAGTGCACAGCCTTAGGATCTCTCTGTACTTATCACTTGTTCTAGATACATAGAAAAAGTGACCAGAAATGTTTCCTTTCATCTCTGGCTGGCCAGACAATTATGCCCAAATCTCTCTACTGCAGAACTAGCAAAAGTGATTCATGTTTTGTCACTTTCAGACTTAACTTGTCCAGCATGTTCTACCTGGGTTAGCCCTAAAGATTGCTGGGAAACTAAACTTGTGTGTTGGGGTGTAATACCCCTGAGAGGATATATTAGGCCAGGCAAGCCTAACTGACCAATTAAGCCGTTCGTAGGGGAGAGAGGCTACAAGGCCACTAATTAGAGGCAGGTGCACTGCAGCTGAGAAGTAACAGGAGGGGCCTGTAAACAGCCCAGGAGCTGTAAGTAGCAAGAGGCGCTGCAGAAAAGGCAGGCTGTAGTTACTCCTTGAGCAGAGGGAGTTGGGAGGCTGGTATACTGTACCCTGAGAGGGTGGGAGCCAGTGATGTAGGACGAAGCCCAGGGAAAAAGCAGCAAGGGATAAGACTGTACAGTCCTTGACTGCATGTTATAGGGTCCCTAGGCTGGAGCCCAGTGTAGAGGGTGGGTCTGGGTTCCCCTACCAGCCACTGAGTAGTGGCACAGGGCATTGGAGACGTCAGCCAGACAGTTGGTCCAGAAGGACTGCGATTTCCCTGGATGGGGAGGGCCAAGCTGTGGACTGGAAGCTGCTGCTCCGAGAGCGAGAGAGAGGCTGCAGACAGAGAAGATGGGTAAAAAGACTGAGGAGAGTGAAGCATCTGGCAGAGCTGATCACCAGAATGGCCAGGAGGAGGTTCCACATCACAACCTGGTACAGACAATTGCAAGCTGTATCATTAGTTAGCCCTCTCACATGAGTCAGCTATCAACCGGTGGCTTGTTTAGACAATTCTCTTGATATATCTGTTCAAGCACACACACATCAAACCCCCATTATACAAATCTCTGGTTAATGCTGTTAACAGAAGAACTTAGATGATGGCTAAATTCTAAACTTGCTTGTTTTCAGTACATTCAATACTTGTCTTTTCTGAATCTGTCAACTAATTATGATGCCAGTTACAATGTTAGGTGTGGTTTTTTTTGTATGTATAGGTTTGTTTACTTAAAACTGGACAGAGACCATCAATTCATCTTAGATAGCCCTTTAAACATCAATGGACTTTTAGTCACACTGAACTGTGTAGGCCTGAAAGTAGAGAGCTAGAGTTGAAGGATGTTGTTGTCCATTTCCAGTCCCCTAGGCTACAGAGTCTGCAGAGAAAATTATTTCAGCTGCTTACCTTCATTATACTGCATGACTGGTTAAAAGATTTACATTATTTCTAAATTATAGGCAATTTTGTCCTGCTATGTAGTTTCTATTAAATATTGCCTAATATTTGCTAGGAAAACAGCATTTTAAAACTTTCTTGTTGCATATGGCTATAAGGAATTGAACACACAGGGTGAAATAGTGAGTTAACTGAAGTAAATGGCAATATTCCCATTGACTTCAATGGGGCCAGGATTTCAACCATTGTTTTTCTTGAGCACTATTTAGATGTAGCATAGGATGATGTCAATGATGCATTAATCTTACAAGTGATACTAAGATTTCATGTTACTTATGTCATGTTTGTGAAGCTGTTACTCAACATCTGTGACTAGCTGCCAAATACTTCACGGCTGAAATTATTGATGAACCATTAATAGTTCATTAGGTGGCAAGCAACATTACTCAGATGTTTTGTTTATCACTGTTAAAAAGGACAGGATGGTGGATGGTAGGCAAATGACTCAATGCTTCATATCCTGTGTGGGCTAACTGCTGGACACTGAAATGGGCATACTTCATCCTGTTTATAAATCTCTCTGAGGTCTGAGCTACTTATAGAAGGATTAATGTTCCTTGGAAACGTCAGTCAGAACTTTTCATTTTAATAACATGCCTGGTTGAATTCAAAACTGGCATTTTTATACTGACACTGCGCATGAACTGACATGTCCTGATACATGTGCCACCCTGGATTTATAAAATAATAAAATTCCCACAATATATTGATCAAAACAATATTGTACACTTACAGAACTAGCCTCCTGGCTATTATATTTGCTATTTCTTACTGCTATTTCTTACTTGTAAATGCAACCTTGCTGCAGCCTTCCACAAATTGGAGCCCTGCTACAGTATTCCGAATTCAGTAGGGCCGCAGAACCACATACTTACTGTAAGACCTCATTTCTGGAATACATTAGCCTAATAACTGAAATGACTGTCTCAGATAATTTTTGGTTCTGCTCTATGAGCGGCAGGTCTACTGTCTTCCACTATGGCTCCTCATGCTCTGTGAGACGGAGAATTTCTTACCTTCTTGGTGTTTATCCACCTCAAGAAAAATAGCCTGCTTGGGGAAGAAAAAGAGAGTGAGAAAATGAAAACCGTGCTGTTTTTTTAATTTTATTTTTAATGTCATTGTAAATATGCCTAAAGAACAGGAAGGATGAAACGTCAAGCACTCAGAAGTTCAGAAATTCCAGAATTAAGGTTGTCTGTGCAATCTTTATTTGGCTTCCCTGTGCATAGACATTATCCTACAATCCTTCATTACATGATCATATACTAGTTTTTCCCTTATAAACCAATTAGCACAAATAATATTTCTTAGACTGAAACTTTCAGTTTAGAAGAGTGTTCAGCCGTATGATAGGGGAAACTAAAGACCGCTTGCTACTTTTGTACCTGTCAAGGTTCCTTCCCCACTCTGAACTCTAGGGTACGGATGTGGGGACCTGCATGAAAGACACCCTAAAGTTATTCTTACCAACTTAGGTTAAAAACTTCCCCAAGGTACAAACTTTGCCTTGTCCTTGAACTGTATGCTGCCACCACCAAGCGTTTTAAACAAAGAACAGGGAAAGAGCCCACTTGGAGACGTCTTTCCCCCAAAATATCCCCCCAAGCCCTACACCCCCTTTCCTGGGGAAGGCTTGATAAAAATCTACACCAATTTGCACAGGTGAACACAGACCCAAACCCTTGGATCGTAAGAACAATGAAAAAGCAATCAGGTTCTTAAAAGAAGAATTTTAATTAAAGAAAAGGTAAAAGAATTACCTCTGTAAAATCAGAATGGTAAATACCTTACAGGGTAATCAGATTCAAAACATAGAGAATCCCTCTAGGCAGAACCTTAAGTTACAAAAAGACACAAAAACAGGAATATACATTCCATTCAGCACAGCTATTTTACCAGCCATTAAACAAAAGAAATCTAATGCATTTCTAGCTAGATTACTTACTAAGTTTTTACAGGAGTTCTGAGCTGCATTTCTGATGTGTTCCCGGCAAAAGCAAAACACACACAGACAGACCCTTTGTTCCCCCCACCCCCTCCAGCTTTGAAAGTATCTTGTCTCCTCATTGGTCATTTTGGTCAGGTGCCAGCGTGGTTATCTTAGCTTCTTAACCCTTTACAGGTGAAAGGGTTTTGCCTCTGGCCAGGAGGGATTTTATAGTTCTGTATATAGAAAGGTGGTTACCCTTCCCTTTATATTTATGATAGTACCGCATAAGGCAGAAACAATGGAGTAGAGGCTGGTTATTGACGGAGGGAGCATAGAGTGTGCGAGCATTTGAAATTGGGGAACATGTTCTTTGTGGAGGCGGTAACTTGATATGTCATTTGGGAGGACTACTTGTGGAAGGGAGAAACTCAAAACGGGGAGTGGGATTGCTTCATGGGAGTGTCTAAACTTTGAAGGGACAAGTCCTGCAGTTTTGTTTCCCTATGCAGTGGTTCGCAAACTTGTTCCGCCGCTTGTGCAGGGAAAGCCCCTGGCGGGCCAGGCCGGTTTGTTTACCTGCCGCATCCGCAGGTCAGCCGATCGCGGCTCCCAGTGGCCGACAACTCCCATTGGCCTGGAGCAGCGAACCACGGCCACTGGGAGCCACGATCGGCCGAACCTGCGGATGCGGCAGGTAAACAAACCGGCCCGGCCCACCAGGGGCTTTCCCTGCACAAGCGGCGGAACAAGTTTGCGAACCACTGCTCTATAGACATGAACTTGCTCTTTCTTTCAGGATGGAATCTTTGTTATAGTACATCCTGAACTGTACTGTGAGTTTGCCTTGTTCTACTTTAGCGGTAGTAATTTGAGGGACTGATTTACCGCTGTGTTACTCACTTCTACAGCAGTGTAATGCCAAGGATTTCAGTGGCATTACACTGATGTGAAAATAGTATCACAAAGTGGTGAATCAGGCCTCAGAATATATAAGATGTACACTGTATCAAACAGAACTTCAGTAAGTGTAGATGGAAGTAACTGAATAAACAGAAGAAGAAGTTGGTAGAACTGTTGTAACTTGATCATAACCACAGCATGTCTGTGACACTGATTGTCCACAACCACTTTTTGCTTATGCCACATCCATGCAGCAACTCAATAGCACGCAGCTTGAGCTTTATCATGGGGAAAAAACAAAATCTGCTGGTTTATTACTTTAACTTCTTTAGGTTTGCACAAAAGTAACAGGTTGCTTATCCAAAGATCTAGCTGCGCTGCCATACACTACAACTCTCCCGCCCCTCTTCAAAAAAGAAAAACAAAACAGAACACACAACTCCCATCTCCACTTCAGATCTAATCACCATCTAAATCCACCATATGCAGGAGTGTGTGCAAAGAAATGTTAAGTGAATGGAGTTGGGGAACAAGTAGTTGGTGAGGGTCAACTTTCACAGGAATTACTAGAATAGTGGAATGGGAGAGGCTGTTGCAGAGAGAGACAATTTTAAGTTTCCTCCTTTTACCCCACAGTGCCTAGTTACCTTTTCAACAGTCTCTTTCCTTCTCCAGCACTTTTTGTTCACATAAAAACTAAATATATATTTAACTTTTCCCCTACTATCTTTCTCTTATCCTTCTGTTAAGAACTGTTTTATTTTGGAAAGATGCATTTCATAATTCTTCTCAACCCCCAAAAGTCTTATTTAAAAAGCTCTTTAAAAATGAAATGTTAATTAATCATGCTCTACTAGCAATAAGCTACATCAGAATGTTCCTTCTAATGCATAACAGAGGTATTTTTAAGGCACTTGGCTTTGTGTCTCCATAATGCATCCAGGGCATACATTAATAATGTATTGATGCACACCAGTTGTGGCTTATTACTACAGTAACTTACATAGAAGGTATCAGAGGGGTAGCTATGTTAGTCTGGATCTGTGAAAGGGGCAAAGAATCCTGTGGCACCTTATAGATTAGCAGACGTATTGGAGCATAAGCTTTCGTGGGTGAATACCCACTTCATCGGATGCATGTAGTGGAAATTCCCAGAGGCTGGTATAAATATGCAAGCAAGAATCAGGCTAGGGATAACGAGGTTAGTTACATGGAAGAGTCGCCTTCTAACATAGAACCAAGGATTGCTTCAAAAATATGACTGAGGAGGAGGAAGTCAGTATGAGAAGCAGTCAGTTTTGTCTCACAGAGTTTATAGAGGGATATGGCATTATTATTTATCTTGGAAAGAAAGCATCAAGGTGGCTGACCTATGCATGAGCTTGCTTAGTCTATGCTGTTCTTTAATGAGTAATATTCTTATGTAACCGTGACATTTTATGATGTGAGGCTGGACATGTCTCAATGAACTTTATAGAACTGGGATTAAAGCAGAATTGTTTGTCACGCTGATATTGCCTCTTGCTCATAAACTCATTAAACCTACCATTTTCAAATGTAGGTGCCTAAAGTTAGGCACCTAAATCTATATTAGTCACCAAAATAGGAGGCCCAATTTGTGGAGGTGCTGAGCATCAATAGCTCCCTATTAACTTTGTGGTTATTTCCCCTTCTGTTGCTTGCAATGCAACTAAATTTGACACCTACTGGAGGCATTGTTCTTTCATATTGGATACAGAAACATGGCTTGCTTCCTCAGTGTGCATTTTAAAAACATAAAATGCATGTGTGATGAATGCATAAAACTGGAAAAATAATTTGTAATTTTTGCATTAAACTTCCAAACTTTTATATAATTTCCGTATAGCTAAATTCTATCTGTGTTCTAGTTCAACAGATCACAAGGGGGCTGGAGGAATGACCCTGATGTAATATTTAAAAGATTTTTGGATATTTAAATGGAACAAAAGATGGCAACAGTTTACAAAGTGGATTTCTCTGAAGGTTGGTGAAATGGAGTTTCTCCAAACTGATTATTCTAAATCAAGGGTTGGGGAGAGAGCTGGATGAGTCAATGAAAGTTGGTCTTGCGCAGATGACACAAGGATCAGCAGAGGTGAATGTCTGAATAGAATAAAGACTTTGATTTCCCTAAATAGCAGGGAGTCTTTCAGGAATAGAAAGAGAGATGCACTGGATTAATGGCATTTTTTTTTTGAACTAGAAAAGGACACCTAGGAACAGAAGAACAACAGTATTGGAGCTATGAAGTTGGCACGCATGGTTTTTGTAGCTGTGTTGTCGGTTTTATTCCATGGTCTGTAGTGTAGCATTCATACAAGGTTCATGCACTTGGCAACATTCAGGGCACACCTGGAGTGTTGTGTAGGAGCAGTGCACATATGGCTCCTCTCAAGGGCATGAACCTTGGAATCTCGCCCAGATGACATGAACCGTGGGAAGCCTCCCAGGACTGGACTCAAGGCCCGAGAGCGAGGAATGTGGTAGATAAAAATTGGTAAATAAGAATGTTAAACAAAGCCAGTGTATTCCTTTTATCTGTTGGAGAATGTAATGTGCGGGGAGAGAGAAAGAATAAAGGAAAGGGTGGAAAGCTGACAGGACCAGCCCGTTGGCAGACCAGCCTGCTTGCTTGCTTAAAGCTTTGTGCTGTCTTGTATTTGAACCGCAACAACTGGCGCCCAACGTGGGGCCCTCAGCACTCACCTCGCCCGGCAAGGGTTTCAGACGTGTCACTCATCCACTTCGTGGATTCTGGTGAGTATTTTTCATCATGGTAAGTATGGGAAGCTCCCTCTCTGCTTTGCAAGTGCAACACCGCCATGAGCTACAGTATTTGCTGCGTAAGGCTCAGCATTATTGCCCCACTCGAACTCACTCTCCTGCTACAGGAGGTGAGTGCCCAATGCCTGTGGTACCCTGAAGCCAGAACCCTTAAGCTAGTGGACTGGGAGCGGTTGGGCCAGACATTGCACAAAGAGCCTCGGGCGCCCGTGCAGGCTTTACATGCCTGGCACCTCTGCCGCTACGCGATACAGCATGTCGTCTCGGAAAGGCCCTCCCTCGCGCCAATAGAGAGGCTGGTGATCTCGCCACTCCCGTCCGCTCCTGCAGCCATCCCCCCTCCTGGCGATGCGACACAGTGTGTCGCCTCGGAAAGACCCTCTTCCGAGCCAATAGAGGGGCTGCCGATCTCGCCACCCCCATCGGCTCCTGCAGCCATCCCTCCCCCTGCTTCGCCCCCAGTGCCTCAATTACCACCGCCTCCTTTGTCTTCCCCTCTGGAGCTGGTGTGTGATCACTGTCCCCCTGTGGGACCCCATGCTCCGGGGCCCCCCGGGGGATCGTCCGCGTCTGCTCAGGGGCTTTCGCTGGTGCAACAAATGGTTCACGCAGCGAAGACTCGCCCAGATCTTACAGCAGAGGAATTAGCTGATCTGGTCTCTGTTTGCCCAGTGACCTGGCAGGATGATGGCCAGGGCAACCAGCTTGCAAACTGGGTCAGTTTGCCTTACTCGGTGATCAGAGAGGTAAAGAAAGCGATTCGCGAGTTCGGCCTGACTAGCACGTATGTACGTGCTCTCATTGAAGGGCTAGGTACTGGGTACACCCTGGTCTCTGAAGATTGGAAGGCGCTGTTGCGCATGATGCTGACGGCCAGTCAGTATGTTATTTGGCTTAGTGAGTATCGGCAGATGGCGGAACGCCAAGCCCAGGTATATAGAGAGCAAGGTGTCACTTATGAGCAGTTATCAGGGGAGGGCCCGTTTGCTACCGTTCAGATGCAGTCTCAGCTCCCTCAGGCTGTCTTCCCCATTTCTGCCTGCGCCCAGCAAGCTTTCTGGAAGGTCCCGGATTCAGGCAAGCCTACAAAAAGCTTTGCCAGTATCCGTCAGGGTGCATCAGAGTCCTTTATGGATTTTACCAACAGATTGCAGGAGGCTATCCTCCGACAGGTGGATAACCCTGCGGCAGCTCAGGAGATTCTGTTAAAAATGGCGGTTGAAAATGCGAACGAGGAGTGCCGCCGTGCTCTCCAGGCGGCACAAGCCGCTGGCATTCTAGAGCTGTCGGACACGCTGCGGGCATGCCAAAACATCGGCATGCAAGCACACAAAGCTGGGGTTCTGGCCGCTGCCCTGCGGAAAAGCGGGAAGGAGGGGAAGCGTTGTTATCGCTGTGGTAAGGAGGGTCACTTTCAGCGGGAGTGCCGCTCATCGACGGCGCCTGCCCGCCCCTCAAAGAAGTGCCCCAAGTGTCGGAAGGGCTATCACTAGGCTAATCAGTGTCGTAGTGGGTCGGGAAACCACACGACGGGTCTCCCCCGAACCCAGGACCAAAGGGGGGTGTTTCCCACTCAGACAACTGTTCCTCTGCCTTAAAATCCATAGACTCCATGAGGGCGGCGACTGCCGGAAGTGCAGGGCTTGATTTGATTATGCAGGAGGACGCTGATTTTCAGTTGCCGGGGGAGGTTTGCGCCATACCTACACAGGTGACGGGACCTCTCCCTGCCGGATTTGTGGGTCTGATTCTCCCTCGCTCACACGCTGGGAAACAGGTTTTTTTGTCATCCCAGGGGTCATTGATGCAGATTACACCAGCGTTATTAAAGTTCAGGTGTGGACCCATCTTCCGCAGTCGCTCCCGCGTGGACGGTCAATTGCACAATTGATTTTAGTCCCCTATCAGGTGCCAGCCACAGAGGATCGAGCCCGGGGCGGAGGCGGCTTTGGATCGACGCTGTCTCAGTTGCCGCCTCATGACACGTCCTCTCCACTTGTTGCTCTAACAATGTCGCTCCGCCCCTCGAAACCTCAGTTAACACTTCTTTTAAACAATTTTCCTTTTACAGGGCTGGTGGACACTGGAGCTGACGTTACGGTGATTTGTGATCAGGACTGGCCAGTCAGTTGGCCAACAGTTCCTTCTAAAGAGTTGTGGGGGATCGGGGGTAGCAAACCCGGGCGCCAAAGTTTGTCTTGGGTCACGGTCTCTAAACCAGGAGGCCGTGCCCTTGCTACGATCCGCCCTTTTGTGCTCCCTGTCCACCTCAATATTTGGGGCTGTGACTTACTTGTAAACCTGGACACCACCCTCGATATTAATATATAATGGCCCAAAACCCTCCCCCACCCACCTTGCCCTCTGCATTACCATTGGTATGGCAATCCTTAGAGCCCGTATGGATTGACCAGTGGCCCCTCCCCCTAGAAAAGCTGAAAGCGCTTCATTCGCTTGCGCAACAACATTTGCATGCACAGCGCTTGGAGAGCTCTACAAGTCCTTGGAACACCCCGGTGTTCGTTATTAAGAAAAAATCTGGTGCATGGAGGCTGTTACATGATTTAAGGGAAATAAATAAATGCATCCAACCCATGGGCCCCTTGCAGTTTGGGTTGCCAAACCCGAATTTAATTCCTCAAACCAATCAGCTTTGTGTGTTAGATTTAAAAGATTGTTTTTTCACAATCCCCCTTTGCCCACAAGATCGCAAAAAATTCATGTTTACAGTGCCAGAATATAATAATCAGCGACCCTCTCAAAGGTATCAGTGGAAGGTCTTGCCCCAGGGAATGCAAAATAGTCCAACCTTGTGTCAACTTTTTGTGGATCGGGCCCTTGCCCCTTTTCGTGCCCGATACCCCACACTAAAGGTCTACCATTATATGGATGACATTTTGCTTAGCGGTCCCCAGGTCACGGCACAACAGCTTGAATATTTGTCTTTCACTCCTCCTCGGAACATTTATTCTTATTTAGACGCCCTGTCCGATCTTGTTTGTAAAGCCCGCCACCGTGCAGTGCAACTCACGGGCACTGATTTAGTTGCCATTGTGTTCCCCTTGTCATGTAGTGAATTTGATTCCTTGTACCACACCTCCTTGGCCTGGCAGGTTGCTCTTTGTGATTATGTGGGAGAGATTTCTTATAATCCCCCAAAAGATCCTCGGTTAGTGATCTCACACAAGGTGCCACTAATCGTACATCGTCTTAGCCGCTCTTGACCTATTGTTTCAGCTGTCACTCTTTTTACTGATGGCTCTCCACATCGCGGTGTTGTCACCTATCAATTAGGTGACCCCCCTCGTTGGCATTCTCATTTTACGCTGGCTCAGCATTCCGCGCAGTGCTCAGAACTGGCTGCTGTTATTTTGGCCTTTCAACTTTTTGCTGATTGTCCCTTTAATTTAATTGTGGACACCCATTATGTTTATCAGGTAATTGATCATTTACCCCTTGCCCTCATTACCCCTCAGGTCGATGCGGACCTTCTTCGCCTGATTTTGTCCTTACAGTATCTCATCACCACTCGTAATTTCCCTTATTTTGTTGCTCATATTCGCAGTTATACTCCTCTGCCTGGGATACTCACTGAGGGCAATGCGCGCGCCGATCACGCATTACGTGGTCAGGTAAATTCTCTCTTTTCTGACCCCATTGAAAGCCATTCCTTTTTTCATCAGTCTGCCTCTGTTTTGGCCTGACAGTTTCACATTCCTGCTGATCATGCACGTTCTATTGTTCGTTCCTGCCCTCACTGTGCCGCTGCTGCCCCTACCTTTTCTTATGCCGTTAACCCCAGAGGTACCGCAGCGAATCAGCTGTGGCAAATGGATGTCACTCACGTGCCACAATTCCACCCCTATTCATTTTTACATGTTTCCATTGATACCTATTCGGGATTCCTTTGGGCGACCCCACAGCGTGGGGAAGCCACTCCCAAAGTTATTCACCATTTGCTAGCCTGTTTTGCTGTTATGGGTCACCCGAGCCAGATAAAAACGGATAATGCCCCAGCCTATTGCTCCACAGCCCTCTCCTCCTTTTGTGCCCAATGGGACGTCCGTCTCAAACACGGGATCCCTTATAATTCCACAGGCCAAGCTATTGTTGAACGTGCAAATCGCACGCTAAAAACCTTGCTTGACAAACAATTAAAACAAGGGGAGCTGCATCTCCGAACCTTAGGAGACATTCAGCAACAATTGCATGTCCTTTTGTTTACTTTAAATAATTTAACACTGAATACAGATCAGCAGACCCCTGCGGATTGGCATTTTCATAAGTCCGAGCTACTGGAAAGACTGTGTGTCTATTACCGTCAGCTGCCCGATCCGCAATGGCTGGGCCCAGTACCTCTAATCACTTGGGGTCGGGGATATGCTGCTGTCTCTCTCCCTGCAGGACCGTTGTGGGTTCCGGCCCGGTATGTGCGACCGGCACTGAAACAGCGTGGCGTGGCACCAGGGGCTGTCGAACCCCAAACCAGAGTTTCAGCTGACCTTGGAGGAGAACGCGGTGCCTCCCGGGTCGACAATGGCGGGATGGAGACGGAGGAGACGTAGCATCCCAAGCCAGCCCATGACATGGGGAGCAATGAAAGCATTGGTCGCCGTGGCTCAACGAAGACTGGCAGCAAACCAACAGCCAGAGACTCCTGAGACTCTGTTTGTGGCCATTCTCGCCCAAATCACTGCTAATTCTGTATTGATTGTGTGCCTTATGTGCCTGCTATTTCCTGTAGGGGTTGACTCAGGAGCGCCTCCTCCGTTACGGGCCCGAATGACATATAACCTATGGGAAAGATTGGCTTCAATAGTAAATGTTACCCACTTTTGTTTATCTGATTTTGTAGCAGCTGAAGAATTCTTAGGTACCTGCCTTATTCCAGTATGTCATCACCCTGAGGAAATAGGGAATGAGATGATGCTCGCTGCTTATGCGAACCTCTCTTCCCAGTACTCCAGCATGGCTAATTGGGCCCCGGCCAACTACACTTTACCTTCTTGGGCTTATTTTTTGCTGTTGCTGTGTGCAATATATTTCCTTTTTGTTAAGGCTTTGTCGAGACCCGCCCTGGCAGGCTCCACGAGTTATGACCTTGTTTGTCCGGGAGTTAATTGGCTTGCAAAAGCAAATTGATGGCTACCATGAGATGGCCGAGCACAAATAAACAAAAAAGGAGGGGATGTAGCATTCATACAAGGTTCATGCACTTGGCAACATTCAGGGCACACTCGGAGTTTTGTGTAGGAGCAGTGCACACACGGCTCCTCTCAAGGGCATGAACCTTGGAATCTCGCCCAGATGACATGAACTGTGGGAAGCCTCCCAGGACTGGGCTCAAGGCCCGAGAGCAAGGAATGCGGTAGATAGAAATTGGTAAATAAGAATGTTAAACAAAGCCAGTGTATTCCTTTTATCTGTTGGAGAATGTAATGCGCGGGGAGAGAGAAAGAATAAAGGAGAGGGTGGAAAGCTGACAGGACCAGCCCGTTGGCAGACCAGCCTGCTTGCTTGCTTAAAGCTTTGTGCTGTCTTGTATTTGAACCGCAACACTGTAGCATAACATTCCTGCTTCCCGGAAAGATTGCTAGTGAAATTAGTCACCTTATTGATGATTTTCTCTATTTTTCTCTAATAAACCTGCTTTTAATTAATCTAATTTGAATTGAATTGGTTTCTGGTGAACATATAGTGGAGACAAACACAGTTGGATATTCCTAAGTGAAAGGAAACTGGAGTTTGACCTCAGGGGAGACTGAATTAGAATAGAGATCTAAACGACTCAAGCTCTTAGCCAAAAGCATAGGAAGTGCTAGTCTTACTTCCAAAAGTTACTGTGAAGACACAGGCATTTACACAACTTTTAAGAACTTCAGCATGCTAGATACTGGTGATGAGATCTAATACAGTCCTGTACCATTTCCTGTTGGAGAAACAGGAAATACCATGCTGGATTAATAATGCACTGATATCCAAGACATTAAAGAATTTATTGAAATTTGGACGTAAAAGTCATTTTGGTTCAATAAGTAATTTATGAATAGCTATAAAATAAAGTAATGACATATTAAAAGCAAATACACTATGTATTTTTAAAGAGCTAATTTTAAAAATAGTTCAATAATATTTTTATGATTAATCATTTCAGACTTGAAAATCTAATTTCTATTTGTTTTTCCTTTTCAGAATGTCAAAGTGTAATGTATGATGAACAATGCAGGAAATGGCAAGACAGACTGTAGTCTTCTAATGATTTCCTGGATCATTTATAATTCACTAATGCTGTCACAAACCCGTCCCAATTCTGTTAGATATACATGGATTAATTTGTTTAAAATGGAATTGTAATTCAGGGCTAGACAAATCGTTTCCATGAAAATAGCAATACTGTCAATGTCCTTTGGCTTGGGGGTAAACGCTGAAATAAACATGATCCATCAATCTCTTACCATTCCAGAAATAAGCCAGAAATACTGATGATCCTTGCAATTGACACCTGGATGTTGATAGGAGCGCACATGCTTTGGTTGTCAGTGTTGTAAGCAGCCCTAGAAAGTAATCTTTTCACATTTTATTTGGAGCAGTACTACTAAAAAGGATGTAGACTTTTTCCAAGCCTGAACTTTTGAGTCTGAAGCCTCATTCTGCAAACACTTAAGCATGTGTGTGATTTCTACTCACAGAAGTAGTTCCATATGAAGTCAGTAGTCCTACTTGTGTGAGTAAAATTAAGCACATTCTTGAGTACTATTGATTTCAATGGGTCCACTCGTGAACAAAATTATACACTTTCTTAAGTATTTGAAGGATTGGGATCAAAGGTTGCTCACAGTCAGCATGTCTCCAGAAAGTTAGAAATTGTGCTATCTCTCCTATATTTTGTATGGATTTACACTAATGTGCACTATAGTATAAGGTTTAAAATGGTAATGGTGAGGCTGAGAAGTTCCTCTGTCTTATCTTAAACTGTATTAGCATTTTGCACACTTCTGTCTGATTTTTTTTATAGGCCTTTGAAACTACTTTAACAATACCCTTAAGTGTAGTGATGTTTGCAACTAATGGGATTAGAACCACATCATTTGAGGTAATCCTTATTTATTCAGACACTTTAAAAATGTACATTTTAAAAATTCTGTTTTAAAGTACTACCATCCTTTCACATGGTGCGTGACTTTGGAGAGTCTTTCATCTCCTTATTTTGTGTACTTGTTTTTTTGTTTTTAAGCAAGGGAAGGGGTTTAGACATTTTTTGAACTGTCAGTACTTACGAAACACCATTTTAAAAGCCCTTTATAAATTATCATCTTTCTTGGTAGTGATGAGGTTTTCCCACATTGCTGCTCAATTTATTTACCCAGGAGACCAATTTATTTCACTACTTTCTGTTCTAACTGTTTGCATTGACATCCAGGTCCACTTTGAGCAAGCAACTGTGACAAGTTGTTTATTAAACTGTAAACAGGTATCGTCTGATTCTAAACAATGGCTTTATCTAATTATGAAATCCTGTGTATCATTTTAACCCCAGGCGATTGGTTATATAAACCAGGTCTAGTACATCCTACAGATTTTAATTCTCTTAAAAAAAATCTTCAAAGTTTGAATACTCCATTGTATAATGAAGAATTAGCCTTCTTATCTACTGAGAATTTTTGTAGATCAGTGTGTTGCATAAAAAGACTATAGAGTATTGGATTGACCTTGATTAGTACATTAAAAGCTAAAGGGAAAGGAGTATGATATAAAAACTAGGACTGCCGATTAATCCCAGTTAACTTACATAATTAACTCAAAAAAATTAATCGCGATTAATCACACTGTTAAACAATAGAATACCAACTGAAATGTATTAAATAATTTTGATTTTCTACATTTTCAAATATATCAATTTCAATTACAACACAGAATACAAAGTGTATAGTGCTCACTTTATATTTTTTCTTACAAATATTTGCACTTAAAATGATAAACAAAAGTAGTATTTTTCAATTCACCTCATACAAGTACTAGAGGTCAATCTCTTTATCACAAAAGTGCAACTTCAAATGTCGTTTTTTTGTTACATAACTGCACTCAAAACCAAAAAAAGTAAAACTTTATTGCCTACAGGTCCACTCAGTCCTACTTCTTGTTCAACCAATAGCTAAGAGAAACAAGTTTGTTTACATTTACAGGAGATAATGCTGCCCACTTCTTAATTACAATGTCACCTGAAAGTGAGAACAGGCATTCACATGGCACTGTTGCAGCTGGTGTTGCAAGATATTTATGTGCCAGATGTGCTAAAGATTCCTATGTCTCTTCATGCTTTGGCCATAATTACAAAGGACATGCTTCCATGCTGATGACGCTCTTTAAAAAGATAATGCATTAATGAAATTTGTGACTGAACTCCTTGGGGGGAGATTTTATGTCCCCTGCTCTGTTTTACCTGCATTCTGCCCTATATTTCATGTTACAGCAGTCTCAGATGATGACCCAACACATGCTGTTCATTTTAAGAACACTTTCACTGCAAATCTGACAAAATGCAAAGAAGATATCAATGTGAAATTTCTAAAGATAGCTACAGCACTTGACCCAAGATTTAAGAATCTGAAGTTCCTTTCAAAATCTGAGAGGGATGAGTGTGGAGCTTTCAGAAGTCTTAAAAGAACAACACTCTGGTGCGGAAACTACAGAACCCAAACCACCAAAAAAAGAAAATCAACTTTCTGCTGGTGGCATCTGACTCAGATGATGAAAATGAACATGTGTTGGTCCACACTGCTTTGGATTGTTACCAAGCAGAACCCCGTCATCAGCATGGACGCATGTCCTCCAGAATGGTGGTTGAAGCATAAAGGGACATATGAATCTTTAGCGCATCTAACATGTAAATATCTTGCGATGCTGGCTACAACAGTGCCATGCGAACGCTTGTTCTCACTTTCAGGTGACGTAAACAAGAAGCGGGCAGTATTATCTTCTGCAAATGTAAACAAACTTGTTTATTTGAACAATTGGCTGAACAAAAAATAGGACTGAGTGGACTTGTAAGCTCTAAAGTTTTACATGGTTCTGTTTTTGAATGCAGGGGTTTTTTTGTACATAATTCTACATTTGTAAGTTCAACTTTCATGATAGAGATTGCACTACAGTACTTGTATTAGGTGAATAGAAAAATACTATTTATTTTTTACAGTGCAAATATTTGTAATAAAAAATAAAGTGAGCACTGTACACTTCGAATTCTGTGCTGTAATTGAAATCAATATATTTGAATATGTAGGAAACATCAAAAATATTTAAATGGTATTCTATTATTGTTTAACAACACGATTAATTTTTTTAATCGCTTGACAGCCCTAATACAAACTAATGGGACGGTAATGAATGAACAAGATCCATTGCTTAGGCTTCAAGGAACCCCGTAGAATTTTTAATAAACATTTTCCAAATGGACTCTTTATATGATGAGACACAAGTATGGTTTTGGAAAGCCAAACTGGATACTCAAAAATAAGTTGAATAGATCAGCTTGAAAAACCGTAACCTTTCTCTCCATTGTTTGGTGTCAGAGGATTGAGTGCAATCAATGCTCTTTGTCTTCAGCTGTCAACAAGTCATCCTTTCTAGGAGGGTTTCATAGACCAATCACAGAAAGAACTCGGGGTTTTATTTTTTAAAGTAGTATTGATAGACTTCTCTTGCCCCCCAAAACAACTGAAAATTAATGAACGGTTTAGTTACCATGAAGTACAAGGCAAAAAAGTTGGTGCCAATTCTCTTTTAAAAAACAAAACAAAAAACAACCTGTATATTTATGCTCTAGTAACATATATTTGAAATAGATTAAACCTCTGTGAATGAGGTTAATTACTTTCCACTGAGAGTCCACACAGAGAATGTAGTTTGTAAACAAAATGCATTTAATTCATTTTTGATTTATCACTGAAAACTTTCAGCTTGCTTTCCTAAACGTTGCGTTAATGATCTTGTATAATTGGTTTTGCAAACAAAATCCCTTTTGGTAGTTTCATTTTGAATTTCTTATGAAATATGAAACTTTAAAATTTAATACTGAATTAATATTAATTTTGTAAAATGTTTTAATATTAAGCTATTAATATTTCATATTTTACACAGATATGCAGATTTTGAAAGCCATTCTAATGTTTTCTGACAAACTGTCCAGTTCTACAAAGACTATTTTGAAATCTTTCTGATTGCTCAGTTTCTGCTTAGCAGCTAGGGATGACAAGGTCATTGGTTATGTTTATTCAAACGCTAAAA